ATTTAATTAATTAATTATTAATTTAATTATAATTTTTGGAAAACTGTCTGTTTTTTAATCATGGAGTTCTTAAACCGAGCTCGGAGCATCTTTTCTTCAGTAGCTTCAGGAAGTTTGAGCGAAACATTCGCCGTCGCAGTTTCGTAGTCGGAGCCGAATCTGGTCAACGTCAGGGTACATTGTCGCCACTGTTTCATTTTTTTCTTGAACTAACGCAGTTTCAATAATTTTGATTTCTTCAACCCTTGATGGAGTATTTTTTTCACACATTAGTAGTCACACTGAAATTCGGCATAAAACAGTGTACGTACACATTGTTCAATGCAGCTGCTGTATTGAGCGATCATATGCTGAGGAATAATGTTTATCGATCACTCGACTAGTGAGGTGTGTGTTACGTTGTGTATACATAACCCGCTTTGTGCTGTATTTCAGTGTTTTATAACTCAGAGGTCAGGTGCTTATGATCCAACATCAAGGGCTATTTTCTTACGTACAGGAAATGTGATTGACATGTGACTCGAATCAGTCAATCAATCAATTATATTAATTGCTTCAAACCGGCCTATAAACAGACTGGTACTTTCAGTGAAGAGAAAATCATCACTGCGCTGATAGGTAATAAAAAGGCTAAGTTGCACCCCGTGCACCTCGGACAGCACAGAGTCAAGAATTTGATGACTGTTTGTGAACTGTACAGTCGTCTTTCGGTGTTTTAAAGCCATTCGTTCCGTGGCTTCACAATCTTCAGCGTGTTTAATGGTATTTTTCGTTTGCCAAGTTTCAGAAACCTTTTGATGCTAATTTGCAAACTTTTGATTGTACTGCTGCATCATCTTTTTTTGAAGCTGCAAGGAGGTGAAAAAAACAGAATCCCACTTGTATATTTATTCAAGAAAAGAATCTCAAGACCACCCAAAATTTTTTACTCCAATATTTTGACTCCGTTGCCTACTTTAAGCACGAGTGACAAGGACTCCACCATGATCGAGCAATAGAAACTTTGTGTGGACTTTCGTCTACTCTATTGTAGAAATCACGTCTTCATGCCGTTACTAGCGCAAACACCAAGAGGAGCGGGTGACACATTGTTTAAATGAACTTTAATGGTCCAGAAACTATATGCTACTCCTCTTTTACCAGCGAAGTAAGAATTTTGTTGCCTTGCCTTGCTTATTGTATATGCCAGTGTTTATCCGCATATTAGACTGAACCGCCATGAAATTTATACTCACGCAAACGGCCTGTCAAGAATCAACAAATATTTATTCTCTTCGTTGCCTGAAAATGATAAAGGTCGGTATTGTCTTGATGACCATAATGAGCTTTCCCCATCTTTAACTCGTCGCCGCTGACTCTCGTTTGCACTAAATTCTTCAGCAACGGAGTAGTTTATTTCATACAAGCGTTATCCTGAGGATGGTGTGGATAATAGAGCTACAGTCGCCCTTCCATTCTGCCTTGTAGGCTGCATGCCATTCCTTTATTGTTGACAGATTTGAGGTCGGTAAACAGTGACTGAGACTGTCTGGTTAGCCACCGTTTGGCGGTTTGTGGCGCGTCTGAGGTCTGACGTCTAAGGTAAATACGAACCGTCATGCGATCCATATTCGTCGCTTGCACTCTGAGACGAGAATTTGTGAAGAGCAAATTCGTATGGCTCCGAACGTCTTATGTGTAACAGACCCTGTACTTCTGTCAGGGTACTTTCATAGTGATTCAGGTCAACTCGTGGCGCCCAAAGACCGTGGGATAATTCATTCATTGACTGATGCTCGATGACGCACGTCTTTTACCAAAGCGGGTGATCAGCATTAAGGCCCATCAGTGATGGACGTTAATCCCGTCACTTTCGCACAAGCGATAAACTGCGCCTGCCTGCGGGCCTGCCAGCTTACTTTCTGATATCGAAAGCTTCTGTGATCGATGGCCGACCAGACAGCATGTTTACCGATTCATTCCTGGAGGCGGTGTTCACGGCAGATACATTTCCTGTTACTACCGGAAGCCGGCCGAACTGCCGTGGCGCGTATGTAGGATCGAATGGTATCGGATCGACGGCAGCAGCAGCGAGGATGCTCTGGCTTTTGGCTTTAACCCTGATCGTCCAACAGTCGTCTGCCGGGCTCAGCTGGTCACTGTCCACGGAAGCTCTTTGTCGGAAGTCACTCAACGTTGCGCGTGTTGCTGAGGTCGTTGGATCATCGGTCGACATGTGGGCCGTGCGACTGATGGCCAACAGGCGGACGCCTCACACCGAATACCTGCCAGGGTACGGAATATGGCCAGCTGGGCCTGTTTACGTACTTTATCCTGCGTCATAGTGTTTGTTTGGCGAAAGCCGGCATGGCCAAGGGTTTGGTCGTTTTAGAAACAGAATTTATTATACTACTCGTTAATCCCGTAGTCATGTATTGGTAAAGAAGTGCCCGCCAATCATGAAAGTATGCGGATGATCAGCATTGGCCATCGACATAGATCTATACATATAGCAATATAGCATAAAAGTATGTATAAACAGCACTGACGTTTCGGAGTGACCGTAGTACACAATGACTTGTAAAGTGATTTCTCACAATCTAAGACCCCGAGCACTAACTGAATTTGGACAGAAACGTCAGTGCATCATGAAAAAATCCATAAGTTAATAATTTGTGATTTTTCCACCGTTCGTCATGTTCGGAAACATTATATATAGCAATATAAATTCGTATACTAAAATATATTGACAAAAACGTCCTTCACCAGATTTAAAAGTGTTACTGATTTGTCCGTGTGGGGGCATAGTTCTTCAGTGCTATTATCTTTAAAAGCTTTACTGCATTTACAAGATCCATTTTCAATGGCACTAACTTCATACCCGCATTTTACGGCTTTCTCCACCGTCTCCTTCCTCGCACCGCGGCAGAACTTGCGGTGTCATC